TTGGTGTAAACAACTCGAGTTTAATTAACTTCCACCATTACAAGTTGTTAAATTGTGAAAACAAATGTGTGGACAAAAATTTGAGACTTATTTTGGTGTAGACAACTGTCGTTTAATAATTCTACACTATTACAAGTTGTTAAATTGAGAGAATAAATGTGTGGACAAATATTTGAAACTTATTTTGTTGTAGACAACTAGCGTTTGATTAATTCCCACAATTACAAGTTGTTAAATTGAGAGAATAAATGTGTGGACAAATATTTGAGACGTATTTTGGTGTAGACAACTCTCATTTAATAATTTTACACCATTACAAGTTGTTAAATTGAGAGAATAAATGTGTGGACAAGTATTTGAAACTTATTTTGGTGTAAACAACTCACGTTTGATTAATTCACACAATTACAAGTTGTTAAAATAATGAAATAAATATACTGGTATCATTGGATATTTGATTTAATTGTGAAACTTTTAACAACATGTTAACTGCTGACTCCGAACCCTCAATCAACAATTTCGCAGACACAGTATAAATTCCACAACACCACAGAAGATATTGGTCTATTGCCTGAATTGTTTTCGTAATATAGGGAACGCCATCGACACTTTAACAAAACTTACCTTGACCTGGGTCTTGTTTATCTCTTGTCACAAATTGCGCGTCGTCCAGTTTAAGACGTGAGTTATTTTATTATTTATTCATTCAGTTTTGCATGGTGGAGTTTCGTGAGGTTTATTATTTTTTCGCGACGTTTTTAGTTTACTTGTTACGGTTTGAAGGATTTCATTTTATTTGATTTACGTTTTTATGGTAGCTCTGAGCGGGACTCGAACCCACTGCCTTTTCAAGCTAATCTTGTTTTATCTCGATGGCACACTCGATGGCACACTCATTTTTCTAACTACTCCAATGTACCGATGAGTTGAACGGGAAAGCCAAAACAATTGCTGGTTTCTGATTGCTTCGGTTCTGGTGAGTGTGTATGTAGAGTGATTCGAACCCATGTCGTTTGTATTGAGCGTTTTTTTATTTCCCATGTTGGCTACGCTGTAATATGCAACCACTTCCCCGTCTTATTGTGATATTGTGATTGTTTAATGATGTCTTCCTCACCCGTCACGCCAAGACCCAGTTTCAATCACACGGCCATTTTGGAACGAAGTG